CGATGACGGTGCACGACGGACCAACGTTTCGACGGACGTGTGGCCGCTACTTAGGAACTGTTGTTCGTGGTAGCGGCCAACCGATCTTCAAGCGCAGAGCATCGAGCGGAAGGGATGTAAGTGCGAAATAATCTCAAGAAAAACGGTGCACGCAAATTCGTCGTGGTCGTCGTCAGCATCCAACGTCGGAGAAGCGGAGAAAACAACAAAAAAAACGCGGTCGGGTGTGTCCACGTGACTTCCGGCTATGAGCGCCCATGCTCGTGTTTCGGTTTTGGTTCGAGCAGTTGAGTGTTTTGAATTTATTAAGACGAAAGAAAAGCCTCACTTGTCCCATTGAGCGAAAAGCTGGAGTAAATGGCCATAAAAACGCGATTGCGCGGCACGCGCCTCTCCATGGGTGACCCTACTTGTTCATTTCCTTGACGTTGTCCTTGCGGCCATGGACGCCGGCGGGATTTTTTCTTGACGGGGGCAAAACATTCGCACCTGTCGTTCTGTTTTGTTCTCTTTTTTTTTTTTTTTTTTTCTTAATCTGGGGGGGGGGGGGGCGGCAGTGTCACAGGGTAAAAAATATTCCTGCAATCTACGGAAATGTGTTAGCCAAAATAAACGTAAAGGGTGCATATTAATACGCCCCAACCAATACATTCCCGCGACAATTTTACAATATTTATATGTAAAAAATTGTAAAACAAATGTTGACAGAAACATTCTTAAGTTGGCAGTTCTAATCGCTCACGTAAAAAGCCCCCCCCCCCCCCCCCCCCAAGCATTGTGACACCTCTCGATGTAATTCCCGCAACCCGGACGCAAAACTCTCGTGAATGATGAACGGGACAAACATATCAGGACCAACGGGTTATCGCTGACGAAAGAATCACCCGTCATTTATTATTTATCAGATTCTGCAACACGCCCACAAAACAAAAACTGAAAATACATCCTCGAATTTTCATTCATATACTTTTAGAAAACGAGGAAATATGCAAAAAGGCAAGCAAGCCTTTACATGATGTTTCGAGTCTTTTAATAGAACAGTTCAAAGATCCTATCGACGAATTACACTTCCTCCATGACATTTGAGTTTCCCCAATGAACAGTTTGTCTTTTCATAATACTTAACATATGAAGAGAGAAAAAGCTAGATATCACCAAAATGAGTGCGCGAGCTTAGAGACGATATCTCCGAGAAAACATACCATTTCACTTTCGTAAACACGAAGTCATAAAAGCTCTGGATTTATAAGAAGAGAACCAAACTGGAGAAACACCAGCACCCCAAATACAAAATACGCAAATGCAAGTCCGCAATTATATTGTATTTCCGGGTATAAACACTGATCAACGCCTACCTACTGCGACAAGATTGATAAGAGCTGAAATTTAACCCAGTCTTTACCTGGCATCGCTAGCGTTTAGGGTGAAATTTTCGAAAATAAATGTTGCTATTTATTTACATATTTTTCTTCGATAGGTTTCTCCTTCGTCAGCTCCACTTAAAATTACAGTTAAGATCATTCAGATAAATGAATGGGGCCCTGTCTGTTTGATAACAAAACTGAAAAAAAATTATGTTAGAGTGCTATCTGCTAACTCTATCCGGGTCTTATGTTTGTTTATCTGGTACCTGAAAAAGGGCGTCCCCCCGAAGTGTTGTGTATTCCTTCCCGTTTGTGTCCTTTTTTTAGTGTAACACAATCATATATCTTTTGCGATTTTGTGTTCAAACTTTAGTTTTACTTGAAAATATATATCCTTGATTAAAAAAAAAGACTAGGCCTATTCGTAACAGATGAGTTGAGGGTGAAGCGTACATCCCAATCATCCATTTCCGTGATATTTAAGGTGCATACAATGGTTTCATTCGCTTTATAATCGCTTGGATAATGCAAGAATAGACTCATTAGGTGACTTCCATAATTTTAGGGTGCAAGTGAAAGGGGTTTTTCCACTTTGAAAATTAAGTGTATGTTGTTGTTTTTTTGTTGTTTTTTTACCATGTTTTTATTGTTCTTTTCATTTTTTTTTATTTTTCCTTCAGTGTTTATCAAGTTTTTTGTTTATGCCCTCCCTATCATAGTCCCAAGTAGGAACTGATAGTACTTTGAAATAAATAAATAAACATTAAGCTGAATTTTCCGACTCCGGGTCGTTTGCGCGGGAAGACGACTTGCCCTCGCCTCCCAACCTCCGTAAATGGTCATGTTCACTGGCGCTTATGACCTGCTCTTCAGTGAATCGTTTCCAAAACACGTGGTTTATTACCGAAGCTGGAATGCCCCGTCCTTGAGGCCGAAACTGCCTGTCCTTTGGTGCGTCAGCTATGCAGCACTCGGCGCGGCTTTTCCAAAAGCAACCTGAACCCCGGCGTCCTCAGCACACGGGGCGCGGAGTTGGAGAGAACACTGGAGGAATTGCTTATTAAAATCTCACGTGGAGCTAGGCTCGTGAAAGTGAAGTAGTGAGTGAAGTTTTGAAGAACGGGGTGGTGTTTGGCATTTGCCCCATGAAGATAGTTATTGTTATTTCCCTTTTCCCCTGGTTTGACTTTTCCCAACCTTCCTACTAATGTCCGCAGAGCCCCGACCACACGCCCCACAAGAGGATATTGAGGGAATATTTCAACAGACAATTTGAGAACTTGTTTTTCGGGCCGTTTCATCAACTTTCTACTCGGGGCTGGAGTCTGGGCTTCATCACCACTGTGTGTTCATCGCGGGGGATTGCGGTGTTCTCAAAAACGGGTGCGCCCCTGCCCAGATTTGGGGTGGGGGGTCGCAGAGGCAAAAGGGGTTTGGTTGCCATTTTCGTTCCATTTGTTTCTTAGTCGTAATACGAGGTAAGACATCTCCTTTTTGTTATGTTCTGATAGTTGCTCTCAATTTTATTTTTTAATTGCTTTCGGTTGTTTTTCCCATTGTCAGCGTACCAATGGTCGCCCCGCTTGCTCGGGGGACCAGGCAGGCAGGGACAGTCTGGCTTGGGGCTGGCAAATGTCCCTTTTGCACCACCCCGCCGACGCACATGCTTGCGGCCGTCCTAGAAGTCGTTCTAGAACTTTAGGACGGCCTAACTTGACACATTACGTGAAAAACAAGCGGCTCGGTGTTGTTGTGCCCGAAAGATGGTCATAGAAATACGTCATCAAGCGCCACCATACGTCATCAGCGTCATGTCACCGCCGTAGCGCCGTGTAGAAAAGGTGCGCTTTGGACTTCATTTCTGCTCGTTAAGTGTTTCGTGCGCTGGACTGTGAGGCGACCGCGTCTACATCTACGGATTCGACATCGACAGCAGTGTCGACATCTACGGCGGCTTCCGCAGGAAAACGTGGCCACCCACGCAAATACGCCATAGCCTCCTTCAGTGTCCCCCTCTAGGCGTCGTTCTAGACATCGTCCTTGAGGTCTTCCTAGACGTCGTCCTAGAAGTCGTCCTAGAAGTCATCCGAGACGTCGTCTTAGAGGTTGTCCAAGACGTCGTCCTCTCGGCGTCCTCAAGGCGTCGTTCTCGACGGTGCCCTACACATCGTCCTCTAGGCGTCGTTCTCGACGTCGTCCTAGACGTCGTCCTTACGGTTGTCCTAGAGATCGTCCTAGAAGTCTTCCTTGACTTCTAGCACTCTTAGACGTCGTCCTTGACTGGCTTTCACCTTCCTACACCTAAGCAATCTTAGGTGTACTCGTTTAATTTTAAATGTATACGTGACTCTGCAGTATGATATTGATCGGAAGTTGCCTGACATCATATAAAATCGCCTAAAAATGTTTTAAATTTTTTTAATGGGAAAGGGGGGAGGGTTCAGTGTCTTTTTAAGCTGTCGGTAAGTTCACTCTCTTTGGCGAGCACGCGTCAGTTCTCACGTCTGTACAGGACCCTAATGGGCATTCATTCGAACGCGCGTGTATATCCATTAAAATTCTCAGGGGACCATATAAATGTTCATGAGTGTTCTTGTACATCCTTGCACATCCAAATTAGGGTAAATGTGGAACAATATAACTCTTGCAGTTTCATGCAGACGAATGTTGTGGTGTATGCGGGCATGCTCATGCGCTTGCTTCTACGCATTTTCTCACGAATGCGGTTCTGCAAGCATGAACTGCTATATTATGTAGACGGTCGTCTGTTACGTGTGTGCGTCTACACTTCTCGATCCAAGCACACGTGACGTGTCAGACACTTTAGGAACGTGGGTATTTTAACTCATTGCAAAAGCCTTTCACCCGACACCTGGCGCTTTTTCTCCTTCGATTATTTTATTACTCTCTCAGTATTGACCGGCACAAAGAAAACGTTTTGATTTAAACATGGATTTTTTTACCTGTCGCTTTTATGCAGATGTCGCGTCCTTGAAGATACATCTGTATGGCAACGACTTTCCAGGAACCATTATTGAAAGTACTAATCGTTTCTTGAGCGAACTCACGCAAGTCCACGCTTTGCCTCTCGGCTTACTTATAGAGTGCCGTCGCCTGAGGCAAAACACTCCGAAAACACTCAATATTAGCTTTAAGAAGAACTGGCGTCAGCAGCAAAACTGGCCTCCAGACGGCGTATAGCTATAGCCACACCCACAACCGATACGCTGACTTGTTTGTATTCTAAATTCAGTCCTTCTCCCAACTGATACCGGCACTAGAGTAGCTAATTTTAAACTCGAACTTTAATAGACCTCCGTTTTTTTACAAGCATACTGGTCGATATCCATTCGCTTGTTTTTTTAAAGAGTTATTTTCTAAAACAAAAATTGCCACAGGAATTGCTCTCGCCGTAATAACAAGCTACTCTCCACTTCATAAAAACACGGTAGACCAACATTCAGCGATTGGCTCAACGAGTTTGCTTGGTATCACGGTAAAGAGCAGGGGAGTTTGCCAGTTCACCTTTTCGTCTCCTTCCCTGAGCGCATTCATGGAAGTAGCGCGCATAAAGCGCGAAACCGGTCAACTGGTATCTTTACACGAGTCGCAGGGCGGTGTCAATGCACCTTTGGAAACGTGGTTCGTCTTTTTTATTGACGTTTTTTTATGCTCCTGGAGAGCTAGCGTATTTGTTGTTGTTTCCCGCTTGTTTTCCGGCGCATCGGAGCTCGACGGACGAAAACTGGTTAGCCGATCACAATCTTCAGCGCTGGACTCTTAAGTTTTATGCGCAACTCCGGTGACCCCGGTTGACCCACGGAGAAACCTCTCGCGGATCGCCTTGACCTTCGCTTGACCCCCTTGGCCGCTGTCCGAACGACCAAGTCTGTGCTCGCGGGACGCGTCTAGGAGGTCGACGGTTCCCTTCGGAACAAGTTCGTGAAAATGTCTCGGGACGCCGCGGGTTGATGCATATTTTGCAGGAATTCCGCGAAGGCGTTCTCGTTCCGGTACACGTTCAGACGATCGAGTATGTCGCTGCCCATCTGTCCGAGTCCCTGGAGCATCTCTCTGGCCGCCTCGGGGAGTCTCTGCAAGTCGGACAGCAAACGAGAAACATTGCGATACGTTTTTTTTCGTTCGTACTGTGCTCCGTTTGACACAAAATTTGGCCCCAGCCGACGCGGAGAGCAAGTCGTCTGCTTCTGGCGTAGGAGTTGCGGTGACGTCACAACGACGCCGAGCTCTGATTGGCTTTGATTGGAAGGATAGCGAACATACCTCAATGCTAGATGCCTCAAGGTTTACCCACTATTATTATTATTTTTTTTTAATCAGCCAATAAAAGTTCGGCGTTCTGACATCATCGCAAGTCTTGTGCAAGAAGCAGACGAACTTTCGCTCCGCATACGATTCAATGGAACCAATCAAGCAGTTCAAAAAGTATAACGTCATGGCGCGCCGTTTTTGTACGCTGGCTAACATCGGCTAAACCGATCACACACAACGAATAATTCCGGGATTCTGCGCATTTGTTGTTGTTTTTTTTTTTGGAGCGCCGATGCTCCATCTGTGTTCCTCGTGCTCAGTCCAGGATGACCGTAAGACATTCCCTCGCTCTCAACTTAACAGCATCAGGAATTGTTGTGCAATTGCCACTCACCTGACTGCTGCCTTGCGTATTCTGTCCCGCGTTGGCCAAAGTACGAGCGTCGAGGTTTGTGCCCTCGACCTCAGCTCGAGTTGCTTGTTGTCCCTGCTGTTGAGGCTGAAGGTTGCGCAGTCCCTGCATCAACTTGTCGAAGGCGTTCTGGTCGATGATACCCAGAAGAGGCCGCTGTAAGAAAAACCACAAAAAAAAACTTGTCAGACCTTTTATCCAGACGTCCATCATGTCAGGCGTCCATCATGTGAATGGTTCAAAATATTGATACAAAAATTAATGTATTTACTATTTACCTAATTTGACTCCAGAAAAGTTGTCTATTTGCTGGGTATCTTATTAATAAGGACCGTTTTAACAAAGCATGACTAGACGACTGTGAGGATGAGATTTATTATCCCAAAACCTTGTTTAAAAGGTCACGCCAAGATTCTGACTCCAACACTGATCTTGTTGGCACGATTTTAATGAACATGATTGTAAACCTGATACTGGGGCAGAAAGAGAACACAACAGAAGGTAGTAAAAGAGGAGGCAACGTCTCAAACTCAGCTGCAAAGTTTGCAGCTGAGTTTGAGACGTTGCCTCCTCTTTTACTACCTTCTGTTGTGTTCTCTTTCTGCCCCAGTCTCAGGTTTACAATGATGTTCAACTTACACCAGCTCGCCTGCACTCTGACTACTTTTACGATTTTAATATTTTCCCGTGAATCGACCATATGCAAAAATTGTTCGAACGTCTGGCAACACTCTGTGCGCTGCCATATTTGTTGCGTCGAGTCTCTCCAAGTCGGACAGTAAACGAAAAACATTACGATACGTTTCATTTCGTTCGTACTGTGCTCCGTTTGACACTACTTTTGGCCCCAGCCGATGCGTAGAGCAAGTCGTCTGCTCCTTGCGGAGGAGTTGCGGTGACGTCAGAGCGACGCCGAGCTCTAATTGGCTTTCATTGGAAGGATAGTGAATATACCTCAATGCTAGATGCCTCAAAGTTTAGCCACTGATTTTTTTTTTTTTTTTCAATCAGCAAATAAGAGTTTGGCGTTCTGACATCATCGCAACGCTTGTGCAAGAAGCAGACGAACTTTCGCTTCGCATACGATTCAATGGAACCAATCAAGCAGTTCAGAAAGTGTATCGTCATGGCGCGCCATTTTTGTACGCTGGCGAACATCGGCTAAACCGATCACACAGAACGAATGCGCCGTGATTCTACGCATTTGTTTTTTGGTGCGCCGATGCTCCATCTGTGTTCATCGTGCTCATTCCAGGATGACCGTGAGACATACACTCACTATCAACTTAACAGCATCAGGAATCGTTGTGCAATTGCCACTCACCTGACTGCCGCCTTGCGTATTCTGTCCCGCGTTGGCCAAAGTACGAGCGTCGAGGTTTGTGCCCTCGACCTCAGCTCGAGTGGCTTGCTGTCCCTGCTGTTGAGGCTGAAGGTTGCGCAGTCCCTGCATCAACTTGTCGAAGGCGTTCTGGTCGATGATACCCAGAAGAGGCCGCTGTAAGAAAAACCACAAAAAAAAACTTGTCAGACCTTTTATCCAGACGTCCATCATGTCAGGCGTCCATCATGTGAATGGTTAAAAATATTGATACAAAAATTAATGTATTTACTATTTACCTAATTTGACTCCAGAAAAGTTGTCTATTTGCTGGGTATCTTATTAATAAGGACCGTTTTAACAAAGCATGACTAGACGACTGTGAGGATGAGATTTATTATCCCAAAACCTTGTTTAAAAGGTCACGCCAAGATTTTGATTCCAACACACTGATCTTGTTGGCACGATTTCAATGTTTTCCTGCGAATAGACCATATGCATAAATTGTTCGAACGTCTGGCAACACTCTGTGCGCTGCATCTTTGTTGCGTCGAGATTCCTTTGCTGTTTGTCAATTTCGTATCGTTGTCGGTAAAAATCGAGGCCTACTGCTCACTGTCACCGACCCTCACCCACACCTCCGAGATTAGTGTTAGTATTGTTTTAAGCTCTTCTTGGGTATGTAAGCATGTGCTCGTCGACCCGCCGCTCGCTGGTTTCTCGCCGCAACCAACATCGCAGACGTACATTTCAGCTCGAAATCCGGCTTTGAGTACCGATAAGGGCACGGGCGCTTGGTTTTCAAAAGCGATTTCTCTGCGCGGGTGCTTTTGCAAGCGAAGGATTTTTCCGAACTACGATTTTGCGCCCTGGCCTTTGTTAGAGCCAAAGCCAACTGGTGAGACGGAGCATGTTCTTCGGCGCCCCACTAGATGGCGCTGTGCACTCAGCATATCGAATATTCCAAACAGAAATGGAAATATGTTTACGTATATTGAAGTAACTCCCTCAAGACAAGAATTACTATGACCAAATTCTCGATCTGTCACAAAAGAGAATTTGTGAAACCTGGAGTTTCCAGTCTCGTGGTGCTTTTCGCGATTCTTTTTTTGCGCCAAAAAACAAAGCAAAGCAAATGAGACTTTAGATGTTGAGACACTGCGAAGCCGATCGGCCGTATGGCGCCACTGGCCTGTGTATGACCAATTGAACAAGTTCAGTGCAACTTTTAAACTGGCGTCTTTGGCGTGCGTCACGCAGTAGTGACACACGATCACACGCCAGTATGATGCTTGCGAAAGGAGGAAACATAAATAACACATAAAATTCATTCGAACTGGTAAACTTCCCACATGGTAAAATGAGACCGAAGCGTCCATTTCTGTTTCTTGATACTGTGTTTTCAAGACGTTGAGGGGAAAATAGCTCACTGCAAGAGGGCAGAGATAAGCATATTCAAAGCGTGTAAACACCTGTGACGTCACAACGCGCTTCGGGTAGATGTCTACCCAAACGTTCCAAAATGTCAAAATTTATTTTCTGGATTTTTTTTTTTTTAGTTAATGCGTGCTCTTCTGCCTGAAATGTGCCTCCGACTGGTGCGTTCACTGATCACTGACTCTGTTTCCACGATCTTAGATAGTGACGTCATGACGGGATTGCGATTCGCCGCGATCCTCTGCGGCACAACAGCGGATGCGAATACGCCACACGCCTATTGTTTTGTAGGCTGCTCTGCCGCAGTCTAGTTGAATAGTTGAAGGGGACATTATCTGGCAAAGGTAACGGCCCTTTATAAAAAGACCTTAAATCAAAAGAGGGACATATTTGAGGAGAAACAGAAAGGGCGAGGGATCTCTTACGGAAGGGATAGATGTATCCACTTTTTTATTATACAGGGAGAGTGATTTTTATTGATTATTTGATTGATTGATTGATTTTATTACGTGCCCAAAACACCCTAAAGGTTTTGAGATTGTCGCACAAAAAAGTCACCTTTACGTTAAAAAAAATTACCATTCAAAGACATGAAACACATAAAAGCCCAAAATAAATTATATTAAGTCATAATAAATTATATTAAAGGTACTTTCCGCTGTTCCAAAAGTAAAATATGGCAAACAAAAAAATTGTTCTATTACAAATCTTTTTTTTTTTTAATTCGTTGTAATAGTTATTTTTCAAATTTCTAGTTAGGATAAAACGTTTCGCAATGTCGTGTGAATTTTGCTTGGATACGTAACTTTATGCTGCCTAAAATATCATGTATATCAGTATGACCTTAGATTAGTTTCTGTAAAAACATCACTTGTCGGCAATTCCTACAGTCACATAAAGCGCTGAGGCTGAAAACCCTAAGATAATGGTATTAGAAGTATAATCTCCTGTGAAAATGGCAATTATAGACTATGCGAACCAAACGCTTTGTTTCTACCGCTTCAAAGCGCTCACATTCACTTTCCGATAAATTGTTTCACGCGGCCCCTATACAGGGTGTTTGATTTTAATTCGAGCATATTGATTACAAGAACTCCTTGAAAGGCACAGTAATGAAGTTTGTGCAAGTGAGTTATACGGCCAGGGGAATATTATACAGGTGGATGATCTTCACATTAAGTCGAATAATTAGCTAGGACTTTTTAATTAAAGTTTGATTAGTGAAAATACACATATGATTTAAATTGTAGAATCTGTGAATGTCATCAAAAAAAGTGAAAGCCGTTTACAACTCCCTGTAACGCCGAATTGGAGCGCAGCTCTTGAGGAGGAGGAGTGAAGGGTACTGAGGGGAGGGTAGACCCCTCCTCCTCCTCCTCCTCCCCTCATTCTTTAATATGCTCCGGGGGGTGTCACGTGACCTCGGGGGGGGGGTCACGTGACTTCGGGGAGGGGGGTCACGTGACCTCGGGGAGGCGTGACCTGGGGGTCACGTGACCTTGGGTGTCACATGGGAGTCACCTCAAGGTCACGTGACCCAAGGTGACCCCCACGTGACCTCAGGGGGTCGCGTGACCTTGGGGGTCACGTGACCTGGAGGGGTCACGTGACCTCGGGGGTCACGTGACCTCAGAGGGGTCACCTTGGGGTCACGTGACCTTGAGATGACCTTGGGAGGGGTCACGTGACCTTGGGGAGGAGACCACGTGACCTCGGGGGTCACGTGACCTCAGAGGGGTCACGTGACTTGGGGTCACGTGACCTTGGGGGTCACGTGAGCTTCAAAGGGTCACGTGGGGTCATCTTGGGGTCACGTGACCTTGAGATGACCTTGGGAGGGGTCATGTGACCTTGAGGGGTCACATGACCTTGGGGTCACGTGATCCCAAGATGACCCCCAAGGTCACGTGACCTTGGGGGTCACGTGACCTTCAGGGGGTCACGTGGGGTCACGTGACCTTGAGAGGGGTCACGTGACCTTGGGGGCACGTGACCTTGGGATGACCTTAATTACGCCGACGCCGACGGCGACGCCGACGCCGCTCAAGCCGGGAACGGGCCCCTAAGAGCTGCGCTCTAAAATGACTAAACCAGTCAATTGTAGAACTTGAAGCACGTGGGAAGCGTGGGGATGCACCAAATTTATCACTCGTGCAGCAGGCGCAAAGCTAGCGGCACAAGACACCTGTACAAACCGCATTACTGCGCCTTTTACGAATTTGTTTTAATAAATTTGTTAGAATTAAGCTCAAACACCCGTTATAGGAGCCTCAATTTACGCAAGTGAGCGAAGCATTTCATGCCCATATCTACACTACCAGCTAGACTAGAGTCACTGTAAGTAAGGTACGCTTCAGAGTAACGCCACTTCCGCCATCTTGTAGTTTAAAATCCTTGTTGCCAGTGGCCTGAAGATTTATCTTAAATCGCATGGAGCACTTCTTTGTCCTCCAGAAACGTTAAAGCGGTCCGCAACAGAGCAAAATGATATTTCCTTAGCTTCCTGACAGCGCATCAAAAACTCAGGAAGTCGAATTTTTGAATCGTAGCTATCGCCAGTGGCTCTCGCATTACACTACAAAAGAAAATGGCGGCGCCCACAAGACACTCCGAGAATAGGGTGCCGCTGCTGTTAGCGTAACTAATTAAGTGGCTATAATCTCATCTCCGCTTAAGTGTCGCATCACCTGGGTTCCGGCCTGCCCATGCTGTCCACCCGCAGCAGGTGCGCCAGGGTTAAGCTTTTCTCCCTCGAGGTCCGGGTATAACCTCGGGGCCTGGGTAGCGGACACTTGTTGCCCTTGCTGCTGGTGCTGCTGATTGTTGCGGAGCCCCTGCAAGAACCTGTCGAATGCGTTGGGCGCGAAGCCTGGGTCGATAATGCCCGAAGGCAATCGCTCGAGGATCCGTGATGGCAAATTAGTAAGGTCAAACAGTCCGTTGAGTGGAGACGCAGTACTTGTCCTGGAGGGCCCTTGAGCTGGAGTTGCTGTGGCTTGCCGCCGCACTCTCTGAAAATAGCCACCGATTGAAGGTGCTGTCGGTCATTTTGACAGGTCCCAATTGGAGGTTCAGGAAACCTAAAGGGGACAGAAATCTGCACAATCGTTCAGTTTGGGACCTTTGCGGAGAATACGTTCGCTGGGAAGCGATTAATAATGACGTTGAAGTTACTTGATATACCATCTTTAAAAAGAAACAGTGAAACTAACAAAGACGAGCAAGAAGAGACTATCTTAAATTCTTAGCGCTGTAGTATCTTCGAATTCTCTTTGACCGTCTTTTGCTTGGTTCGTTTTTATTAATGGAAAACAGTTCTTTATCTTACCAATACGTTATTTTATAACTCGTCGCTGGTTCTAAATTTTATCCTAAACCTATCTATTTTTTACCGGGTCATTGATATTGGTATGGAGAGTTGTACGGGCGCGTTTTTTTCTTGGGATTATTATTACTAGACCTAGAAACTTCTTTACGTCTTTGTGTGTCGTTAGTATTATTATTACGAATATTGGACAATTCTATGTTGCTCTCTGCTTTCGGAGGGGGGGGGGGGGGGGGGGGAGTATAAAGGCTTGTAACGCAACATCTGAGTTGATTTTTTTTCTTCCCCCTCTCTAAGTTTAGAAAAATAAAACAATTGACCAATTTGCACTATTTCTATAGCATGCATTGCTTGGCTGTCCTATGTTGCTCTGAAAATGTATTCTTTTGTTTGTTGGACTGTTTTTATAGATAATAATGGGGGCGAGGGGGAATCTTTTAAACTATTTTCCTATTGCTAGCAGGGCAAAACTGCCCCCTTCAAAAGTACGCTTCTTCAATGTAAATAATTAAAACGCCGAAAACACGTAGAACAAGTACAAGGAACGACGTACGCCACAGAGCGCTTTGTGGTGTACGTCGTCCTTCTACGTGTTTATCGTGTTTACGAGCTCTAATGCTCTACAATGTATAACCAACTCGCCCAAGTTCATACGCTTCCGCAATGCTTTTTCAGTCACGTTCAAGACAAATTAAATTTTTCAGAGCTCGTGCGGCGACAATGTCTACACTACGCTCTTGAAAGAATGAAGCTCGTGTAGTTTCATTTGCAGTGAGTAGCTCTTATATAACAACCTACTGTAAATCATCGAAACGTTTTGCAGTTTTGCAAGTTGTATCTTGAAATTTTTGTTTAGCGCTCTTTTAAGAACCCCCTTTTTTAATTTTTTTGTATATTCTTTGCTTTTTCCCAAGTTCTTGCGTGTGTCAATCTGGCAACTAATCTGTACATTAAACTTCCAATTCGAAGGATTATGGCTTATTTGTTTCGCAGCCACTTTGAATGTGGTTGCCCTACTGCTGCAGTGACAAATGAAAACTTGGGCAATAAATCGATTGTATTCGCTTTCGAAACTTTCTGCACATTTTCCTGTTCGAAGCAACTAGCCACTTTAATTGCAGGTCTGTGTCTCCGAGAAACCCCAGAGTTCATACATCTGTTGTTCAAGATGATTCAACAATATTTACTTTAAAAACGTTCTGGAATTTTTTTACGAAGTTTCAATAAATGAACAATAAATATTATTGTCTTTTTCCAGGAAGAACACTAATGTATCTCGTATAAATTTACATATTGTTTCTCGTAAATAAGTGTATTTAAAGCGTCGTTATTTTTATTGGAACTTGTTTTATCTGTATTTGATAATTAGTGCAGGATCAAGAAACATTATCAATTCAATTCAAATGCTGAATGTAGCAGGACTTTGCATTCCCTTAGGGGTTGAAAGGGTCTACGAATCTTTTTTAAACTTCAGTTTCCACGCTCTCTGGGTTTCCATGAATATCATCATTTAAATTTTCACCAGCATACAGCAGACTAAAATATCAAATCTTAATTCTAAGTTAAACCTTCAAAATCTGACCTCTTAAGAAACATCAAGTCTTTCCAGCTTCATATATTAGCCATCAAAGTTTTATTGTTTATCTCCGCATGATACTAGCATCAGCAAAAATATGTGGACCCTTTCAACTGCCAAATAACAGAACACCTGAGAGGGGTACAAGCCTCATTTTTCTAACAATGAGTGAGTACAAAACTTACAAGGTATCAACAAAAACCCATGCTTTTTTTTTTTTTTTTGCCATTTCTGAACGACAACCGGCTATTTCAAAGAAGTGCATCCAACAGACCGATCTCATCAGTCAATTTGTCCACGCCACCGCTGCCGCAAATGCGTTGAGGCAACTTTAGTCTTTCTGCACGCGCGAGAACATCGCTAGGGCTCTGCGAAGGCAACCAAGAGTCGAAAGTTAAGGCGGCGTCACCCATGCGCCGAAAAGTTTGTGAGATTGGTTTGCTCAATACAATTTCACGGACCTCAAGTGTCATGATTATGTATTAAACAGCCCCTGACTAAGATAATATTCTTCATTTCGTTGCACGACTAACAAAAACAAAATCAAAACACTTTAAGAAGATAAGCTATGCTTATCTTTTTATGCGGATACTCAGAATATGAACTCAAGTATACGGATACGCAAATAAGCTATGCTAACCCAAAATCGTTATTCTCTGGTTCCAATAAATGTGTTCAGAGTCCTAAAACTGACCTGCGATTTATCCTGCAATGAGGTTGACTCTGACGCCGTCTCTGCTTTCGTCTCGTTAAAATCTACACTTCCTTCAGGCTCCGTTTTACGTGCCATGGCCTCTCGTAGTCTCCGGTAGAAGTCTGGTGAGAATCCCGGATCGACCGGTATGCGAATAGGAGGTGGTCTCACGATTGGTTCGGTGACTGCGCCGGGGACGTCTTGGACTTCGAGAGTCCCATTTTTACTGGAACTGGTCTCGGACGTCTGGGATGTGTCGTTCTGAAAAATTTTATCCGAAAATGATTATACCTATATCTAATTCGCATTGCATTGTATTCAAATCATCGTATCCCATTCTACTTACAAGAAATTATAATACGTATTTTAATGTACATCATAATTCTGCAATAATCATGGTATATCTCAAAGTGAACATTAGCAGTAATACTGTGACATTTGCTTCGTTCGTCGAATAACAGTACTCTTCTAATACAGAACCGCAATTACTTTACAGATGCTAGTTTTATGTTTACAAATCAGCTAATAAACCCCACCAGAATGTTTTAACGTCCTACAAATGTTTCAATGCTACTTTAAACAGTTTCAAAAAAATAAATTATATTACGTTGTGCATTATCTCCCATATTAAATAAATTGTAGACAATAATTGCAACCTCAGGCCATAATCGTCTTGGTCAGTTATGAAAAATGTAATTTTATCCCCAGTTACGCCGTCATGCATTGAAGTACGCCCTCTACTTTGGACTTTTACCATCAGCTCCTGCAGTATAACTGAATGCCAGAATATGTACTTTAATACGTTAACAATATTGAACGTGTTGCTGCCTGAAATCTGACATGTATATGTAAAATCGACGTGACGTATTATGTGAACCCGCGTCCTTTGGTATTACAAATAAATCATTTCTATTACCAAAGGACTCGGGTTCATATAATACCAATGAACTGGGCTTCATATATGACTTAGGAGGATGACAGTTTATGGATGGAAGGTAATGGTCATACATTCTGCGTCGGGCAGCACCTGTGCCACCTCAGTTAGAAACATTTGAACCCCGTCCTTCATCGGAACTTAAATTTCGCCTTCTCTTACACAAGCTGTCTCATCAATTTTGGGAGTAATCTACCATTCTTTTATACATTTTTCACCAATATTGCAGTGTTCCTTATGCAATTTTGATCATTTTCTCCTTCGTTCTTTCACGCTTGTCAGCAAATCCAGGTTCTCATGCCAAACTGGTTTCCCCTTCCAGGAGGGCTGTGCCAAAATACGTTTATTTTAAAATCTGCGTGTTCAATCAATCCAACTTCATGGTTCGGTGTTGAAGAATGCTTAAAAGACATATTACGAGGGCTATACGTAAGATGTCTAATCACTGTGTCGATTTCCCCCTCGTCATTTTTTATTTGAATACACCTTGAGTTAATGCTATCAGAGACCTGTATCTTAGTTTTCAATTCGTCTAGTCGATAGATTAAGAAACGCATTATTATGTTCACGCTTTTCGCCTTGTGATTTGTCCTCCTCAAGCAGAGTCATCGGAAGTCACTGTGCTTTTTCTGTTCATGATTCGGTCAGCGATGATACAACACGTACAGAAACAAGACGAACATCATGATGCTGCGCTTTTGGCGCTATCTGATTGGTCCCATGAGCTCGTAGCGTCGGCTACGTATGGACTTAAGGTAAAACGAAGTACATAGGTATAATAGATCTTTTCCCGAATCGAAGCTCTCCTTGTGGCACGATGGCACGAAAAAAATTCTGGGTACCAGTTGGCCACTTAGTTTTGCTTTCAGTTTCAGATGCATCAAAATCATCGCGTCGTGACGGAACACGCTGCTTGCGCGTTTATTGCTGCGACTTCCTATAAGTGTACAATGCTGTAGGCGTTGCCGAGAGATACCGAGAAAAACACCTGACACTGTTTTTGTTGTTTCCGATGTGCCGGATTTTGGACAAAGCTAGGCAAGTGTAGAACGATGGATTGCAACGTCCTTGCTGGTTCCCTTGTCGTGCAGCACGTTCGCATGCGCGTGAAGAGAAGTTATGCAGGCTTGGAAGTTCACGTGCTTGGCTGCAGGAGTACAGACGGTGGCTGTCTGATCGAAACCAAAGCCATGCCACTTCGCTGCGTGGCTTACTGATTCCCAGCATGCAACGGGCACAGTGTTGCATGGAGGGATTTTTGAAAGTGGCCTATTAAGTCAGTCAACCCATTCGTTCGCTATGCATACACCATATTAGTGTGTGTCCTTTTTCTCCAAGTCAACAAATTAACTTCCAGTGATGTGCAATGATACCGGAATACCAAGTTTGACGGATTAATTAATCGGGCACTTTCAAGGGGATGGTCAAGCGCATTCATAAATAACATTACGTCCATCCTAACACGTAAGCACAGCGATCGAGTTGCATGTATATGTTCGTGCGTGAGACTCCTATAAATCGACCCTTCTGTAAATGACGTACTCTTCCTGGGTGCTGCCATATCTTTATCTATTAGGCTGTGAAGTACAATCGTAACATGCGCAGTAGCTCTAATTTCTAAGCATTACGCACGCCGTGCGATAGCCCACAGCCCGGTGACAAGGCAAATCTTTTCTGGGCCATAGGCAGATAACTGTGGATAACTTTTTTTTTTTGTTAAGAGGAAATGACGTGAAACCTACCTCGGGAGACTGATCTTCGGAAAGTATTTCGGAAAGGTTCACGTGGACGAGCTTGAACTCGGGATGGGGTTTCCCGGACTGGCTGTTCGGAACTTGGGGAACCCTGAACCTCTTGTAGTAGTCGGGCGCAAACCCAGGGTCGACGATGTCCGGATACGGCCGGCGGAAGTTCCCCGGGGGCCAGTTGGGAGGCCGTTGTTCGCCGTAGCGCCACACCACAATGTCCCCATCCGAATCGGCGCTAGGAGCCAACTGAGTGGTCGCGGTCGTGGTGCTTGTCGTGGATTTCACGTCATCCGCCATGGCGGCTGCCGCCAAGAGCAGCACAGCGAAAACTGCGGGAGTCAACTATTTGGAACAAACAAGAATGTCTGGTCAAAACTCTATCCGATCAGAGAATTTGAGTCCCGAATGTTACCAATGGAGTCTAACACGGTGCCGTAGTGAAATAGTTATATGGTTTGAGTACAAACGAAGGAGAGCTGTCCTGCTTTTGCACAAGGTACCGGACGCATGAGGAAAGCTGACACCGAAGATAAGCGGTTTTGTACAAGAGTAGGGAGCCGTTATCTGAACGTAGCGAACTTGGACTGATATGACGCTAGTGTCGAGCCGGTAGGGCAAGTGCGTCTCAGATAATGTATATACAAAGGAATATACACAAAGGAAAGCATATACACAAAAAGTATGAATCTGAAAACCCAGTCCCTCATGGCTCCTACGTTCTATGGGCTAAAGAAATCAATGCGCGTGTTGTTGATTTTTCCCGACAGGTATGAAACAGAAAAAACTTTCCGGTTGTAGTAGATAGGCTGTACTTAATCACGCATCATTTTTGGCAAGTATGGTAAGTAATCATATTTTCCGATTTATAAAAAAAGGCTCAAATTAAAATCAAAAGAGCATGATCTAGTTCGGGTACGTTTCTCTTGCTTCTACGGTGTCATTTCTTTTGATTTCAGTTCTTCGGAATAACATCTAACTTCGGTTATGCTTTTTTAGTTCATAGTAACTTCGTCTCAGTATTCACGAGATAAATATTCATGAATCAGTCGTCCCGTAAAACAAACTGAATATTAATCTACTCGTGGCTGCAAAAACGTCTAAACATTGAAACCATAAAAGACGCCCCAATAGAGAATTACGTAGTCATTTATTCACAATTGGGATATCTAATTAAAACTTCGATTGAGACATTTCGGCCATCTATATACACCCAAAGCAAAAAGTAGGTCAAGAAAAATGTATCAAAAACGTCACTTTCAACTCACCATCAATGCTGTAGTCAGCAGCAGCAAAAATTCCAAGCGACCTCGTCCTAGAATTGCGAGCTGACGTCTGAAACAATAAGCTCAAGGGCTGTTACTTTATATACAGAAAAAAAAAAAACAATATTCCCTACGCGCTATTGGTTCGACACGAGGGTGACGTCGCTATCAAAGGAAACACTTCTCTTATAGCCTAATCTGAGTGCAACCTTTCATTTTCGAGATCGCCTAGGTTATCCCAAAGACCTGGTCTTCGCGCTACGCAACCGTTTTAACCTTTCCTGGCAAAGAAGTTCGAACCAAGCAGAGCAAAAAGAAGAATCTCAGGACGGCTCTCACGTACACCTAGTTTGGCACTTCCACCTTACCGGCGGCGGATCTCATGTGTACCATCCCATTCGAACCCTCGACGCCCTTGAATTTTGTTTTCTTTTATATGCGCGAGCTGCCTGGAGCTTCGTGTTGCGATATGTGGCGTTTCCCGGACCCGTTCAGGGGCCGGAAGCAACTAGCAGCCAATTTGTGAGCCGATAAACTTGGGGCAAACGAGTCGTCGTCGTGGTCTCGGAAGAAGCCGGCCCTGAGCGGCGGCGCCGATAGCAACACCGACGGAAATCGTTACGGCTTACGGCACCGCGGTCTTCGTCGAGTCAGGAAGTCGACCTCAGGAAACATCAACTTATGGCAAAAAGACGCTTCGGACTTGACCGAAACATCGAATCCAAAACTACTGCGCATCCAAAAATTGCATAAAGCGTATGAACCCTTCAAATTAATCGCCTTCTGCACGCTACCACTTTTGCTCCGACACTCTAACAAATAAAAAAAAAAAAAAAATAAGAAAGAGCTGATCGCAAAAGAACTTTGAACTTTTAGGAATTCTTCATCCTGTCCATATTTTGCACCCAGAATAGTTATTTTAGTCGCCCCTTAAAAAGGGTTCTTCGTGAAAAACACGTAAGATATTCTTTCAAACTCATTCTTTGATGCGAGAGAGTTCTTCATTGCCCGGTTGTTTTTCTAGTGCGCCAGGGGGCGATAGTTTTCGAGGCGAAACAGTTCTTCACGAGCTGAAACAGTTCTTGGGGTGTCAAAAAACCTTTACAATTTTTTTTTTTTTTTTGAGCGTACGATTATAGAACGCGTTTTGAACATGCGCAGTACAGTAGATCCCTCCAGCAAAATATCATAGGTCGCGCATGAGTGCACAGCTTAATGACTAGGCATTCTTTGCCTGAATGATGCGCGCCTTAAACGTGAATATAAATTCCTGATAATAAAACTCGAGACTCAGGAACACAGAAAGAGACGTCCCCTTCTGTGTTCACGAGTCTCGGGTTTTATTACCATGAATCACCACCAGCTAGCTTTTTTTTTTTAAGGTATTATTGCATTTATATGGATTCCCTGCAAATCTCGCATCTTCTTTCACAAGGTACTCAAACAACGGTGTTGAACCTCATTTTATTTGGATGAACATGTCCTTTTGTAGTTCGTATAAGCTATTTCTAACAGTCTGCTACCCAAGAAACTGCTACCTATTTTGAAAAGGACAAAGCGCGACTTTGAAAAGAATCTGAAAAGGTTCTTGAAAACAAAAACGAGTTAGAAGTGAATTCTAGAGTATTTTTATCTCGTGAATATGGATGTCATGTTCGTTTTTCCTGGCCATGTAACTAAACGCGACAAAACACAAAGACATGGGCAAGGACAAGCAGAACGTTTTGTTCTCTGGAGGAAAACTCAAGGAAACTCAGTACGCGTGCGTGAGGACCTCTCGCTTTCGGTGCGCACGGCTTGCATTAAACTCTTTCATTATGGCGAATCACTGAACTTCATTTTCAAAATTCGCTTTGACAAACTGTACGTCAACGGCAGTTGTTTCCAGTATGACTCAGCGGCCGACTCCGTCACAGAGATTCCTAGATAGCAGCGATGACCTCTCTCTGATCGGTCGCCGCCGATCGAAGTCTTTATACGTCACTACGCGACGTATAAAGACTTCGAACCATACAGTCACGTTCACTAATATCTGTAGCCTCCTTATCAAACGTGGGGAGTTCAGTGACTTTATTCAAGATAACAATTCTGACATCTTCATTGTTACAGAAACGTGGCTAAAGCCTGAGATGAGTGGCTGTGCAATTTCCCCCCTAACTTAATGTTTAATATTTACCGATGTGATCGGCCCGCACAGAGAGGAGGTGATGTGCTAATAGCGGTAAAAAAAAATGCATTGCTCCCTTTCAAATTACTGCCAGCTCCAATATCGAGGCTACCTATGTTTGTGTTACATCGTCCTGCACAAAAACTATTATCGGTGTCTGCTTCCGACCTCCGAATTATAACGGCACGTATTGCCACGAGCTTCATTCTCTGCTGCTTGAAATCAATGAGCGGTATCCAAAATCACATGTCTTAGTCTTTGGCGACTTTAACTTCCCTAACATAGATTGGCTTAGTCCAGGGGTGGCCAAGCTGCGGCTCGCGAGCCGCATGCGGCTCTTCGCGTGTTAAAGGGCTGCTCTTGTTCCCTCCCCTCCCCTACCTCCCACACACACAAACACAGTCCCACACACACACTCCCCCGCCTCCCTCCCGGTCAGACGAGCACTTCCCCAAAAAGAGAAATGGAACGCGTTTTAAATAGACAGACAGGTTGCAGTTTGGTATTCTTGTGCTACTACCTTGCGCACAGTTGGACTGCTTTCGACTCAGACAGATTGAAAGTAGATCGAGTTTCGTGTATTGCTCTGGACTAAAGTTTGCCCCCCTCCCCCTTCCCCCCCTGCAGCCCTTGGAAGTTTCGTGGTTTTGTTTGCGGCTCTTAGGCCGGGTCAGCCTGGCCACTTCTGGCTTAGTCTCACAACTAGTGGATCCAGTGAAGCCAGGGATTCGCTCGATCTATGCTTAAACCATAATCTCACACAAGTCGTCAACAAACCTACACGTGAAGGCAACATCCTTGATCTTATTCTAACGACGTCTCCAGACCTGGTGACATCCATTAGCCAAACGAAAGATTTTAGCGACCACAATTTGCTGACTGTGGAGTTATCCTTACCCATTCATTACAGAAACCCATCCTCAAACATTATCAAGGACCACTCCAAAGCCCATTTCGACGCAATGAACAGCAATCTTTCTGCATATCTATATCGTTGTATACCGCCAGTTTTTACTCTAGGCCGGTAGAAAAGAACTGGTTACTCTTTAAAAACAAGTTAAATTATCTCGTTGACCTGTTTGTACCTTCCGTCCATGTACGGAGCGATGATTGCGACCCATGGTACAACAAAGCATTAAGGTCCCTCAACAATAAAAAACAACGATTGTTTAGAAGAGCAAGGCGTCCAGACTGCGACGCTGCCTGGGATGCATACTTTTTGTGCCTTAAGACCCACACTCGGAACCTTCGTCTGGCTAAACATAAGTTTTTTCTTTTTTTTTTAGAATCTTTTTTTATCCTGCGTAACAACCCGAAACATTCTGGAAGATAATATCCCCTAACTATCGCTCCTCCTCTATCCAGCTAACCGATGAGGACGGGTCCCCAATATCTGAAACGGACTGCGCCACAGTACCAAACGACAATTTTTCGTTTGTGTTTACATTAGAAGACGCCGACGTCCCTATATTATTAGCACTATTAGCACTAGCCTATGGAACCTATTGACATCTCATGTGCTGGAATAGCGAAACTCCTTGACAACTTGAAATTAACATTCTCTGGAGGACCTGACGACATCACCCCCAAAATTCTTCACTACACCAAAGCAATGTCCAGAGAATTTCTCTGCTTTATATTCTCACAGTCCTTATTGCAGGGATGGCTACCATCCGACAGGAATCTTGGTAAGGTCGTTCCGGTTTTTAAAAATGGGGATCGTTCTTCGGCTTCGAATTACCGCCCTATATCTCTAACCCGCGTAGCCTCAAAATTTCTAGAGCATATTATCTACTCAAACGTTGTATCTCATCTTGAAAGTAATAAATTATTTTACAACAAGCAACACTGTTTTCGTAAGGGACTGTCTTGTGAGACGCAGCTCGTAGAATGGACCCACGAGTTATACACTAATTTTGAATCCGACCACCAGACTGCCCTATTTTTTTTTACTTTTCGAAGGCTTTTGACCGCGTTGCCCACTGTCGCCTGCTTGTCAAACTTTCATGCCTCAGAAATGACCTTCTCATTCTCTCCTGGATCCGGGATTTCCTCTCCTCTCGCACTCAATTCACCCCAATGGATAGTTCTTCATCCACCCGCGCTGAGTTTATCTCGGGAGTTCTCCAAGGCTCGGTTCTTGGCCCCTACTTTTCTGATCTTTATTAATGACATTTCAGGCAAGACTTCCTCTAACATCCGCCTTTTCGCTGATGACTGCGTCCTATATCGAAGGATAGTTTCTTTTGAAGACCATCTTCGACTTCAAAGAGACCTGGACGAAATCCAGGCATGGTGCACCAGGTGGTTAATGACACTAAACAAATCGAAATGCAAGTTAGTCCAGTTTTCACGAAAACGACAAGGATCTCAATTCTCGTAAAAATTAGAAAATAACTTAGTTGAAGACGTCCCGTGCTATGAATACCTCGGTGTGACTCTAACTAACGATCTCACCTGGAACGCTCACATCAAGCTTATATGCGCTGAGGCGTCTCGCTGCCTCGGTTACATAAGACGGAACTTGAAAGTGGCTCTCCCATTCGTGCGAAAATTGGCTTATGAGACATACATTCGACCCAAATTGGAATATGCTGCGGCCATTTGGAGTCCTCACCAAATATACTTATTAAATCATATCGAGGCAGTCCAGAACCACGCTGCCAGGTTTATCTTGAAGAAATATGATTGATCAGTTAGTGTATCCTCCTTAAAGAGCGAACTGAACCTTCCTTTACTAAACGTCCGTCATAAGATAGCGCGACTCTGTCTCTTTCACAAAATTTATTACTACCTCCCTGCGCTCCGAGACCATCTCCTCCAACCTCCCAGGCGATCTTCATCGCAGCTAAATTACCCGTGTCACGTTTCCCGCATCTCCAGGCAGCGCAACCTATTTTAACTCATCCTTCATCCCTCGTACTCTTCTAGACTGGAACAACCTCCCCTCACTTATTGTAGCCCAGACGGATCCCACCGCATTTCGCAACGTTTTTTGTTCTGATTTCTGTTAATCCCCACTGTGCCGTTCTATTTGTTAGTCTTGTGCTTTACTGGTTGCACTGTATCAATGCTTTCATACACTTATGCTCCCCATGTACCCATTCTAATTTGTGTAATGCCGTTGCTCGTGGCAATGCCACTTTGTTCTTGCAGCACCCCATGTATTCGCATATGTCGTTGTTACTGTCACGGCCACTCGATGAGTCCTAATTGAGTGTCCGTGTTACTGTTTTATGCTCTCGTGTTATGCAC